GTGACGTAGTATACAATAGAAGGCGGATATTTAAAAATCGTTACGTTGTCTATTAAGTGACATAGTATATAATAGAAGGCGGTTATTTACAAAATCGCCGTCTATTATGTGCCGTAGTATTACAATATATATTAGAAGGCGATTATTTAAAAAATCGCCTTCTATTAAGTGACGTAGTATATCATTTTTGTTTGCGAAACTACCGGTTTGGTCCCCGACTATAATTCTTATCAAATTAAGTCCTCAACTTTTCAATTTTTACTCGATTTCGTCCTCCATCTCTTTGACCTTGAAGCCTCCGTCTTCCCCAAGGATAGTAATGTAAATACATACAGCTATCGCCACAAAGGAGACGAGATCACCATTTCCAACCGTAGCCCCATCCACCAAACTGTTTCACCGTTCAGTATGTCGCGGCTGTGGAGAACAACCTCCGGTCACCGGGAGCTCACCGCCACCAGCAACGACAGCGACTCCACCATCGGCCAGAGCTAGGGTTGGGGTAGGGGTCTGTCGAATAGGGTTATGCCCGGCAAAGCTAGTAGTCGCTGACCAGCCAAGACCAGCACCGCCATCCGTCTCATTGTTCGACGTCTTTAATGGCCGAAAAACCTCCGGTTGGCACCAACTTCTGTGGAAGACGATGGTGGCCGATCAACAATCAGACCATCGGAGGATGATCGTTGCAACAAGACGACTCCATCCCTACCACTCGATCCTTGATCAACAGACTGGATCGCAGGGAACTGCCCTGTCGACGAAAACCGGTTGGCACCGACTTCGATGGAAGACGGTGGTGGCTGATCAACAATTAAACCATCGGAGGAGGATTGTTGCAACGAGACGACTCCATCCCTACCACTCGATCCTTGATCAACAGACTGGATCACCAGGAATTGCCCCACCGACGAAGACTGTGATGATTTGTGAAGAGTCTCCACCGCGTCAGGTCTCTGTTTTTCTTGACGGAGATAGATTAGGGACCTACGAACGAAGGTCTGGTCTGGGATGGCGCGATAGCTGTGTGTATTTACATTACTGTCCTTGGGAAAGACGGAGGCTTTACCGTCAAAGAGACGGAGGACGAAATCGGGTAAAAATTATAAAGTTGAAGACTTAATTTGGTGAGGATTATAATCGAGGATCAAATCGGTAGTTTCGCAATAGTCGGAGGACCAAATCGGTCATTTACTCTTAAATAAATTACCACTATCATGTAGTGTGATACTATACCGGTTACCATTCCTAATGAATGGTCATAGATTCGAAGAATCATGAATATTTCAAAAATAATAATTAAATAAATTAAATAGCGACAATGCTAGTTTAGCACACTTTTTAAGTTAGGATAAAATGGATTGTTACACATGATAGATACTATTTAGGATAAAATTAATTGTTACAGATGATAAATATTGTAATACTTATAACTAAAAGTTTAAAATTGTGATACTTACAAAGTGTGCCTTCATTGAGCATCTCAGCTGGTTGTCTACAACTCGACCCATATCACGGATAAAGATTTGTGAGACAGTTCACCCAAGTTTTTGCTCTCCACTGTACTATTAGGTAAAAAGAAAGTTAATTACCCAATTAGAAAAGACATGTGAGGAGGGGAAGATTGTATAGTAAGAGAAAATTTTGGAGGGGTTGGTAGCTTACTCTGATTATAAATATTAGATGAAGAAGACCAAGCTAATGCAGCTATATATGTTGAAGTTAAAGAGAATTCACTATTAATATTGTTGATCAGATCAAAATATTTTTACAATTCTTAAATCCATATATCTAGCAAGTAGCAAGCCTTAAATCCAGCAGATTATATTGTTCATTCTTAGAAGCAGATACAAGACAGACAGTAATATAGTAATCTATACCCTATTCTAATTTGCAGCTGAAGAACCTGTGAACCACAAACCATTTCAAACATACACCAAAATTGCAAAACAGCCACAACAACCATCTGCATGCTCTTCCCACACCCTTCTTTTATTCTACTCCTCATCTTCATCAGAGTCGCCTTCATCGGAGTCATCTTCATCAAACTCGCCTTCATCAGAATCATCTTCCTCAAACTCGCCTCATCGGAGTCATCTTCATCAAACTCGCCTTCATCGGAGTCATCTTCAAGCTAGGGAGCGAGGTTGTCATGAATCAATGAAAACAAATTAGGATGTGATGAAACTAAATGAAGTTGGCAGAAAAATTAAAGGAGACTGAAATAAAAAGCAATTGAGAAAAAGAAATGGAGATTGATCGAGAGACCTTTAATGTGTCTTTCTCAATGACAACCATATTCTCGTTTCCATAGTCATGCTGTTCAGCTTCAATTTGCTTTGCAGACATCACTGCAGAAGGATGACACTCCTCTAATTGGATTAAGTTCAATGTTGGAATTTCTGCAAAGCCATTCGGGATCTCTCTCAATTTATAGCAACTGTAAAGGAATAGGTGCTCAAGTTTTGGAAAATTGTCATCACCAACTTCCCAATGTTTGAGATTTTCACACCAAATTTTCAAACAAATTAAGTGACGGAATTTCACATTCTCTGGTAGTTCCCACTTTTTGCCAAGGTCAGAATACCATAACTTGAGCACCTCAAGCCTTGGTAACTTGCTCAAAACATTAATTGCCTTCCACTCAGATTTCATAAAAACAAACCTCAACTTCCTAATGTATTTCAAGAGAAGAATATTGTTAATGACTTGAGCCATCATCATATCCGGAATTTCATAGTGCCACACATCAACACAAAGAGACAAACTCTCGAGCTGATGTAAACAGACAAGGTTCTTAGTGCAATCATCGGTTTTGCCTATAATAATAGTTACCTTCTTTAGGTATGGAACTTTTGTTAAGGACTCTTGGTCCCAATGACACCTAGCATTCAATCTAGAAATGACCTGCAAGTTTTGATGAACGGATTTGGGAAAAGCTCCTTCAAATTGATAACAATGAATATACAGAAGTTGTGGAAACTCCAAATGGCGTAATCCCATATCGTGATACACACTATATGTTTGAAGATTCCAAGCGTTGGATAATAATGAATGACAAGGATCACATTGCCTGGATATCCTTAGGTATCTCAAATGGATATAAACAGTCGGACTTGGGGAATAGATTTCAGTAACATAGTGTACCCTCAATAGGCTGAAAAATTCCAAATTTATTGGTGGTTTGGCCCACTCCGGAAAACAAAAGATGGACCGACAGTGTTTTGATAGAGAATGTAACGCAGAGATGTCAAAATCTACAAATGACACCCTTTGGATTCTTATCCAACGGACACCTTTCTGAGGGAAATTGCAACCACTTTCATCTACAACATGCAAAAGACTCTGGTTCTGACATTCTCTCACACAAAAGTCATGCAATAAATCATATACTCTAAACTCCTTAATTTTTCTCCCACAACAACTTCTTTTGCTTACAAGAATTAAGTTTCTATCCATAAGTTCATTTATGTACCTTTTGGCCACCGCTTCAAAACTCTCATTCTTGAATGCCTTTACAAGTCCTTCTGCAGCCCATAACCTTGCAAGGTTGTTAGCATTGATCTTATAATCTTCTGGAAAAACTCCTAAATATAAAAAAACAAGCTTTCAAATTATGGGGCAAGTGACTATAACTCAATGAGAGGATTCTCCAACATTCTTCATCATCTAGAGTTGATGTTGAAGAACTTATTAGAGCATTAGCAGTATTTTTCCACTCATCTAGTGTTTTGAGTTTTGAAAATAAACCTGCTACCACAACAATTGCCAATGGCAGTCCTTTACATATCTCAACAATTGGTCTCCCAATTGTCTCAAATTCAACACCGTGAGATTTGCATGCCTTTTTGCAAAACAAATCCCAACTTTCACTTTGATCTAAGAACTGCAATTTATGGGAGAAGTAATTGTTAGAGCCAATACAAGTAGCCACCTATGCAAAGCGAGTAGTCAACAATACTCGACTCCCATTTATATCATCTGGAAAGCAAGATTTAACATCATTCCATGACTCTATGCTCCATACATCATCTATCACTACCAAGTACCTTTGACCCTTCAAACTTTGGTAGAGCTGTAATGCTAGGTCCTCATCACTGCACTTGTTTACATTGTCTTTAGAACCAAGAAGACCTAAGAGCATTTGCCTCTTATTGTGATGTTGTGAAACAACAACCCATAGTCGTCTGTCAAAGTGCGAGACAGTTGATGGATTTTCATAAACTCGTCTTGCTAACGTTGTCTTGCCGATTCCTCCCATACCTTGAATTGAGACAACTTCTCGTTGTTTAGATGGATGTTGTATTAGCATCTTCCTTATAATCTCGAACTCATTGTTTTTCCCAACCATTATGTCCTCAGTGTGTGAAGCATGATTGGAGGAACCGGAACCGTCCATCTTGACAAGTTCATCATCAGATTTTGGAATAACATCATCAACAAGTGTAGTCTCCCTTCCTTGCACAGCTATGACATGCTTGTACTCCATCATGACTTTTTCCAGCTCTTCTTTAATGGCATCAATGTCTTCTATTGCTTGTTGCAATACATGACTAAGTCTATGAGAATGCTGGTTTTTTTGGGCTTCAGTGTCCCCTTGTCCCATTTCCTCGTCAGCTTCTTTAAAGAGATTTACCAAATAGAGATCATCTTCATAGAGATCAAGCACATGGAGCTCAATTTCATCTTCTACTCTGAAAGCTACATCTCTGAGCTCTGTTTCCAAGTCTTTAATTGCTTCAACACCATCCATTCTGCTCTCGTCGAACAGTTGTATCAGAAAAGCAAGCTTTGCATGGAGAGATTGGATGAGGTCTTTGTTAAAAGGGATGAGTTCCATTTGTTGTAGGAATGGACGAGGGTGAGGTTGCAAGAACTCAAGCTCTAATGTTCTGATAAGAGAATTTACAGCTACACAAGCCATTCTTTTCTCTCTCGATCTGAGATGTAACTGTTCCGAGTAGATTGAAGATCGAGAATGTCGATCGGAGAACTCACCTGTACCACGATGATGGAATCCCCGTTACTGCGGAGAAGATTGCTGCACTTGTGAAGTCGGCTAATGTCACCGTGGAGTCGTACTGGCCTAGCCTCTACGCCAAGCTCTGTGAGAAGAGGAATATTGAGGATCTCATCAGGAACACATACTTTATATGGCCACAAAGGCAACCATTTTGTACACATTCTGCTTCGTGGCTGTGCTGATGATGACTCCCTTTCGATATTTGTTCGGATAACTGGGGATTCGAACTCTCAGTCCCATCCTGTTGTCGCTGTTAACTGTTCTGGCGTGAGACTCATCACTTGCTGCAATAAGGCAGACTCTACATCTGGGGTTATCTGCAGGTGTGAAAGAGAGGTCTTGGATGAAAATTGATTCAGGATTAACGGAAATCAAATGGGACCTTAAGAACAATATACTAAACTGTTTGAAACACAACAAATAATACACTAGTCGTATAAGTAATTCACCTGCATTTGATGGATATAAAACACTCGCAATAATAATAATAATAACAGCAGTTATTAAGATGGATGCAATACAGGAATGTTTATTAAAGCTTACCTGAAGAGCATGCTTCTCAGAACTAGAAGCCTCTTCTGTTCCGGAAATTTGATTTCCAGATAAGCTAGCTGACCTTGAAGGCCTTGTTACCAACATTTAATTCAGCTGTGCTGCTGAATAGGAACTCCTTCCATCATTATATTTAGTTATGACAACTTTGATGGGCGATGATTCATCGCATCTATACTATCATTTGGGGCTCTAGCTCTCTCTGCCAAACCTGAAGTGGGAATTGTTTTATTGACCCAAGCAGAATTGTTAGCAACAATCTGGGTTTCATGACGACCCTTAATGATGTTGTCCAGAGGAGTAGACAATGCCGAAGAGCTTGGCTGTTAAAAAAAAAAAAAAGATAATAAAAAACATCTTCCACATATTGTCAAAAAGAATAAAAAACCCAATGAAGAACTGAAAACCCCATGAAGACCAAAATTTCAAGCATGAAACGTGCATACTGTTGTAAAAGCAAATTATCAACAAAAAAAAAAACACTATTCAAGTTAGGTAGGCATCTTTATTATTTTGCACATTCTGCCTCAAATTACTTCTCATATGAACATTAAATTCCCATAATTAAGGATGCAGCATTACATCCCCAGGTCACCAGGTGTTAGCTCAACCTCAGTTCTTGATCTCATGTCATTTTAAGGATTTGAGGCAAGTACAACTCAGCTCAACTACACCTTAATTCAAATTCAGTTGGCATCCACCAGATAAATAAGTTAGATCTACCTCTTCCTCTTACAGGAAGTAATCAATATTTCCATTGAAGTATCCAAAAATAAATGTTGAAGATATTAAAAATTTAAAACCATTTACTTGACTGACTAATACTTCTGCCTTGCTTGTATGATTTCATCATCTAAGTTTCATTGTTTAAGAATAAACACAATTCCATTCTAAAGTAGTAACCTTTAGTTATTTGATTGGATTCTTTAGTATTTGATTACAAGTGGGTCAGCAAATTCATGGGCGCCCAATAAGTATAAGTCACATCAGGAGGGGAAAAAAGCATTTTCCATTATGAATAAGTATGAAATTGGTTAACACTCCAATGAACTCCAGTTAATAACATAGTAGTTGCACAGATAAATGTATTACCTTAGGGCTTAGTCAATAAAGAATGTTACCCTAAAATGGTTATACATATGTTTTTTTAAGAGTTCCATTAAAAGGTACCACCACCACATTGATACCACCAGGAAGTGTTCGAACTGCTAGCTGTTGATTGCGATGACTGTGGCAATAGGGAATGAGGTTGAGGAACAGAGGACTGTCGAATTAGGCATCTGTAACTGCAAATTTGAAAGATCATTAAATACAGTGTGATAATAAGCACATGTCAATCAGGGTAAAAAAGTTATAGCAAACAAAAAGGGAAAAAGGAAAGTTGAGCCAATAGAATACAACAGAGATTCGACAGAACAAACCATTTGAGGAGTAACCAATCCCAGCATTAGTTGTGCCTGCAATGCAAGTAAGAGACAAACTTGCTAAGGATCGGATATAAGAACACACTCATACAAGTAATAATAATTGTAAGCTGGTCATACTGCCAATAGACGTGCAGACCAATGAAATATTTTGAAGCAATTTTACATTACCAACTGTGAAAGGAATTTCAAGGCACCATAACACAGATCAATTTCCAAAAAAGCAGCATAGCATATGAAAAATACATTTGATTCTATGCATATGAAAACATATTAACACAGATCAATTATGTTGTCCGCACAGGCTAGCTTAATAGTTCAGTAGGCAGTATTTGGGAGAAAAGACCAATGTTTGAATTTAAAGTGGATAGTTCCTTGTGCGGACAGGCATTTGGGAGAAGCTAATGCAGTTACGTTGAAGTTAAAGAGAATTCATCACTATTAATATTGTTGATCAGATATCAAAATATTTTTACAATTCTTAAATCCATATATCTAGCAAGCCTTAAATCCAGCAGATTATGTTGTTCATTCCTAGAAGCAGCTCGGCCTGCAATATAATACAACACAATAATATATATAGTAATTAAAATTTGCAGCTGAAGAACGTACCTGTGAACCAGAAACCATTTCAAACGCCAAAAACAGCCACAACTAACAACCATCTGCTCTGATCTTCCCACACCCTTCTTTTATTGCAATTAATTAGCAGCATTAGAGTCTTTCTTTGCTATATCTTTGCATCATCTACTCCTCATCTTCATCGGAGTCATCTTCAAGCTAGCTAGAGAGCGAGGATGTCATGAATCAATTGAAAACAAATTAGGATGCGATGAAACTAATAAATGAAGTTGGGAGAAAAATTAAAGGAATTGAGAAAAAGAAATGGAGACCTGTCCTGTGTTTATCTCAATGACAACCATATTCTCATTTCCATAGTCATGCTGTTCAGCCTCAATTTGCTTGGCTGACATCAGTGCAGAAGGATGACACCTCTCTAAGTGGATTAAGTTCAATGTTGGAATTTCTGCTAAGCTATTCGGGATCTCTCTCAATTTATAGCATTTTTTAAGGAATAGGCGCTCAAGTTTTGGAAAATTATCAGCACCAACTTCCCAATGGTTGAGTTTACCAGACGAAATTCCCAAATAAATTAAGTGGCAGAATTTCACATTCTCTGGTACTTCCCACTTTTTGCCAAGGTCAGCATACGTTAACTTGAGAACCTCAAGTCTTGGTAACTTGCTCAAAACATTAATTGCCCTCCACTCAAATTTCACAAAATCAAACCTCAGCTTCCTAATGTTTTTCAAGAGAAGAATATTGTTAATGATATCCTCCGTAATTTTATAGCCCGAAAATGTTTCAACGCAAAGAGACAAACTCTCGAGCTGCTGTAAACAGACAAGGTTCTTACTGCATTCATGGGTTATGCCCATAATAGTTACCTTCTTTAGGTATGGAACTTTTCTTACGAACTCTTGGTCGCAATGACTAGGCGGCAAACTAGAAATGACCTGTAAGTTTTGATGAACAGATTTGGGAAAAGATCCATAAAATTTACTACAGCGAATATACTGTAGTTGTGGAAACTTCAAATGGTTCAATTGTATATGTTCACACACACAAAATGTTTGAAGATTCCAAGAGTTGGAGAATAATGCCCTGGATGTTGGTAGGTATCTCAAATGGATATGAACAGTCGGACTTGGCAAAGAGAAATCAGTAACATAGAGTACCCTCAATAAGCTGAAAAATTCCAAAATTATTGAATCTATGGGTGACAGCGAAAAATGAAAGATGGACCGGCAGTGTTTTGGCAGAGAATGTAACGCAGAGATGTCAAAATCTTCAAATGACACCCTTTGGATTCTTATCCAACGCACGCCTTTCTTAGGGAAATTAAAACTACTTTCATCTGCAACATGCAAAAGACTCTGGTTTTGACCTTCTCTTACACAAAAGGCATGCAATAAATCATGTACTCTAAACTTCTTAATTTTTCTTCCACAACAACTTCTTTTGCTTACAAGAATTAAGTTTCTATCCATAAGTTCATTTATGTACCTTTTAGCCACCACTTCAACACTCTCATTCTTGAATGCCTTTACAAGTCCTTCAGCAGCCCATAACCTTGCAAGGTTGTTAGCATTGATCTTATAATCTTCTGGAAAAACTCCTAAATATATAAAACAAGCTTTCAAATTATGGGGCAAGTGACTATAACTCAATGAGATGATTCTCCAACATTCTTCATCATCTAGACTTGATGTTGAAGAACTTATTAGAGCATTAGCAGTATTCTTCCACTCATACAGTGTATTGAGTTTTGAAAATAAACCTGCTATCACAACAATTGTCAAAGGCAATCCTTTACATTTCTCGACAATTTGTCTCCCAATTCTCTCAAATTCATCACCGTGAGATTTGCATGCCTTTTTATGAAATAATTCCCAACTTTCACTTTCATCTAATAAGTGCATTTGATGGGAGAAGTAATTGTTAGAGCCAATACAAGTAGCCACCTCTGCAATGCGTGTAGTCAACAATACTCGACTCCCATTTATATCATCTGGAAAGCAAGTGTTAACATCATTCCATGACTCTCTACTCCACACATCATCCATCACTACCAAATACCTTTGACCCTTCAAACTTTGGTAGAGCTGTAATGCTAGGTCCTCATCACTACTGTTGTTTACATTGTCTTTAGAACCAAGAAGACCTAAGAGCATTTGCCTCTTATTGTGATGTTGTGATACAACAACCCATAGTCTTCTGTCAAAGTGGGAGACAGTTGATGGATATTCATAAACTCGTCTAGCTAACGTTGTCTTGCCGATTCCTCCCATACCTTGAATTGAGACAACTTCTCGTTGTTTAGATAGATGTTGTATTAACATCTTCCTTATAATCTCGAACTCGTTGTTTTTCCCGACCATTATGTTCTCAGTGTGTGAAGCATGATTGGAGGAACTGGAACCGTCCATCTTGACAAGTGTAGTCTCCCTTCCTTGCACAGCTATCATGAGTTTCTCCAGCTCTTCTTTAATGGAATCAATGTCTTCTATTGCTTGTTGCAATACATGACTAAGTCTATGAGAATGCTGGGTTTTTTTGGCTTCAGTGTCCCATCGTCTCTTTTTCTTGTTAGCTTCTTTATAGAGATGTACCACATGGAGTTCAATTTCATCTTCTACTCTGAAAGCTACATCTCTGAGCTTTGTTTCCAACTCTTTAATTGCTTCAACACCATCCATTCTGAACTCGTCCAACAGTTGTATCAGAAAACCAAGCTTTTCATGGAGAGATTGGATGAGGTCTTTGTTAAAAGGGATGAGTTCCATTTCTTGTAGGATTGGACGAGGCTCAGGTTGCAAGAACTCAAGCTCTAATGTCCTGATAAGAGAATTTACAGCTACACAAGCCATTCTTCTCGATCTCTCAATCTCTATCTCTCTCTCTCTGTTGGTGTAGGTGTGAAGATTAGCAGAAGCAAGATGAGTGGAATTGGGTAATGTGAAAGACCATTGACATGAGTGATTGGAGATTGGAGAAATCTGAGCTTTTTGTGGAGAGATTGGAGAATGGAGGTGTTTGTTGCAAGAGATGAGTGGGTCAGCAGAATTGCAACTTGCCAACTTGTAATATAATTAAATGGGTGAATTTTTTATGTGCCATATGTGTTAGTTGTCCATGTGCAATTAAACAATTAAACCCACAGACTTTTTATGGGCAAATTATACCGTGCACTAGGGCGCACATTGCATTGTGCGTTATGACCCAAAATAATGTTTTTTTGGATCTTTTTGTGTCTGTTATTAACTTCTTAAAAAAAAATTCATGTTTTGAATGTACAGAATTGTATAATAGAATACACAGAATTTTATACCTAAAAACACAGAATTTTATAACTGAAAATTCCCATGTTTTGAATGTACATAATTATATATAGAATGCACAGAATTTTATACCTGAAAACACAGAATTTTATACCTGAAAACACAAAATTTTATAACTAGAAATTCTCATATTTAGAATGTACAGAATTATATAATAGAATGGACAGAATTTTATACCTGAAAACACATAATTTTATAACTGAATACACATAATCTTTTTTAAAAGGACAAAAATCCCATGTTTCGAATGTACAGAATTGTATAACAAAATGTACAAAATTTTATAACAGAATACAAAACGACGTTGTTTTGGGAGGCGTGGGGTGCACATTGGTATGTGCACCCTGGTGCACGGTATAACGATTGCTTTTCATGGCTTGTACCCACCAAGGCCACTCTCTCAATGCTAAACCAATACTATGAGTTAATTAAATAAGGAAAAACTGTAATTTATACCCCTCACAAACATGTCAATTATCAATGTCACTCGTGAAGTAGTGTAAATATTGTTCCTCAATTTTTAAAACGTGACATATATTGCGTTTCCCCTAATTGGAAGAAGGAGAAACATTGTTGTTGGCGGAAGAAGAACAAATGAAAAAAAAAATAGAGAAAAAAAATGATCATTTGTAATCTTCGTGTAATTACAATGGTATTTTATGCTAATCTCTCTCTCTCTCTCTCTCTCTCTATATATATATATATATATATATATATATATATATATATATAGAGAGAGAGAGAGAGAGAGAGAGAGTGAAGGCAAAAAAGTGTTATCGCACAATATTAGTATAATTACCTAATAATTATTATGGTAATTAAGGAATTAATTACACATATATTAGTATCATCGACTAATAATTATTATGTTAATTAAGTTAATAATGACACGGATATTAATATAATTACAATTAAAAATGGGTCAATTTTTTTTATAATAATTACAATTAATTCATTCAAATATGGAGGGTGGAGGAAAAAAGTAAATGCCATATAGTGAAAGGGATATACTTAAAGATATAAAAATTTAATTGCACAGATATTAATATAATTTTTTAATAATAATTATCTAATAATTATAATGGTAATTAAGCTAAACATGAGTCGTTGGATTTATTTTTATAATAATTATAATTAAATTATTTCTCATATGATTTCATATTTATTTTAGTATTAATATAATGGGAAAAGTGTTAAATTGGCCCCCTAAGTCATTCGGATAGTGCAATTAGGTCCCCTAAGTAAAAAAAAAAAAAGAAAAAACAAAAAAAAAACTCCATTCAGGTCCCCTAAACCTGAAAAATAGTTCAATTGAGTCCAAATTTACCTATATAGCAGGTTAATTCATCCACATCTTGACACGTGTCACCTTTAAAATATTTTTTTTATTTTTATTCTTTAAAAAAATTATTTATTATTAAATTATTAAAAATTAAAAAATGAAATAAAAAAAAAAATTCAGCCACTAGTCTCGAACAGCCATGGCCGTCCATGGCCGGGAACGAGGGCGGGGGCCATGGCCGCCGCCCTCATTCTCAACCGTTTGAGGTCCAGATCTGGACCTCATATTGACAGCTGTGGCTGTCCGTGAAGGAGGCAGCCACCAGTTGTCCTCGCCAGACAGCCGGTGGCTGAAATTTCTTTTTTTTTTTCTTTTTTTTAAAAAAAATTTTTAATTTTCAATTTCTAATAATCTAATAATAAATAATTTTTTAAAAGAATATAAAAAAAATATTTTAAA